ATTATTGCCAATACCACAAAATAGTGCGTCGCATGAATGGTGCGGTCGGTTAATAGCATGTGAGTTCTAGAGAACTTAAGCTCGTGGGATCGTAACTCGTCATCTTCAGTTTCAATTTTTCTTTCCAATTTCTTATTTATTTTTCTTTCTCAATTTCAAGTACAGTAATTCAATTTTGTACAAATGATCATTCTAATATTCTTTTTTTTCTCTCCTTTTAATGTAAATTTAATACACATTCTAATTATTAAAAAAATAATGTGCATAGTTGCCATTCCACTATCGCACGTAGCATGAATGGCGCGGTTGGTTAATAATAATGTTCTGAAGAACCTAAGATCGTGAGTTCGAAACGCGTCTTGGTATTTATAATTTTTTTCCAATTTTAAGAAATTTCATTTTTTTTTCAATTTTAAGTATCTTAATTTTGTATAAATGATCATTCTAAATAATGTTTTATTTTTATTTTTTTTTGGAAAATAAACATTTTAATTATTCAAATATTTCTACGGTATCTTATTAGCTCTTCTAAAAAATCCAATATAATGACTTGCGCCTGTACCGTATTTAATCATGGAGGAACGCGCGGACCCGGTGAGAGGTCGCTGTTGTTAATGTTTAGTTTAAAATCGGGAAAAAACAAGAATTATGTTATCTTTTTACAAATTCATTAAATACTGTACTGTCAGTTTAACTTTAACTAGCCTAGTCGCCTGTGCCAAACTCGAATAATTTACAAGTAGATCTTCATTCGTATTTTCGTATAAATTATTATTTTTACTTAATTAACCATCTGTATGTCGGATTTTATCCAAGTCGAACACTTTTTTTTAAGGATTTTTGGTCCCACTCACTTTCGACCACAATGTAATTTCATAAGTAAAGAAGATGCCTGAAAGTTGTTGAAATGAACTGCGTAAAAATGAACCAGATTTAACGAAAGAGCGTTGTACAGTAAAGTGAAGTAAAATACATCAAAGACAATGTTTTTAAGTTTTATTTTCTGTGGTACATCACGCATATTAATTAGATCTCTATGGTTGCGAAAAATCGATGATAAAAGATCTTGGGAAATTTGTTGGCGCTTCAATTTACTATAATGGTGATGTGATGATGACGAATTTTACTATATAAAAGGGTCATTTGTGGCCATCTAAATGTACTATTTATTTCCCATAATTTTCGCACCTCAGGCCAAACATGATGGGGCTGAGATGGGTGTGGACTCACACTTTATCTTGAAGTGATCAAGTAAAGTAAATACATAAAAGACGGTGTTTTTTTTTTAAGTCTTCTACGGTCTCATCACATACTAATGATCACTATGATTGCCGAAATCGATAATAAAAGTTCATGAAAGATTTTTTCTGTCGTGCCAAGATGCATGAAGGCTGTTATCACATCCATATTTGATTTTGTTTAGTTCAAAAAATTAGACAGAAATATTGAGATGGTGCAGAGAACTTTAATTATAAAAATTAAAATGAAATGTGCCTGTTATTACTGTAGGTGAATCAATAATCTACAATTCATTATTATTTAGACCTAGGCCTATGGTCAACATAAAGATATTTCATGTCTCCTTTTTTGTTCTAACCCCCAAAATCCCATTTCACAAGTACCTGAATGGTTTCTGGTGTGAGATAGTCTCATTCTTCAAAAACTTCATGATAAGTGTTAATCATAGATAAATATGTTAACGTACGGTGTTTATTTGAATAATTATCCCCTCTAGAGCCTCATTTGGAATAAATGCCTTAATTTTTTCCTTAAATAATCAACTCCCCACCCAACCAAATGACTGTAAACAATCAACATCATTGTCAACATATTCTATTGATTTTATACTGCAGTAGAATTACATTTTTTTTTTCTTTCATTTTGATAGTAATTATGTAGTGAAATTTAAGGTCATATATTTTGAATATAATATACGCATCAAATTCACACCAAAAGAAAAAAAAATTATACTGTATAATAAATAAATGACGTGTTTAATGGCGAATACCTCAGTTTCTATGCATTTCTTCATATTATTGTAATGGGAAAAAATATAAAGTGCATGATTTCTTTTCCAATGATACCACATAATACAAAGTTTGACCAGATGCTTCCGCCATCTTGTTTTCTAAGATGGCGGCCAGTTAACCTTCTTGTTCAGTATAAAATTCTGAGTCGGAAAAACATTGTTGCCATAAATTAACATGAATTGCAAACTGGAGCCTATTTTACTACATAAGGCCCTTGTACTACAACTGTATTTACAAATGCACAACATAAACACAAATAAAAATACAATACATAATAACAATATAACATACAAAACAAGAATGTGTGTGTACAGTTGTACTGCATACTACGTACAGTAATGGATTGAGTCTCCTCATTTCCGTTAATGATTATAAAGAAATAAATAAAACAATGAAAAACAAAAGACTTCACTTTTTAAATGTTTTAAATAATGATAAAATAGCTACCTGGTATTTTCCAAAATCGAATAATCACTTTAAAATAGTCTATGTTATGAAAGTTGTTTTTGCAAATATTTACTGAACACACGATCCCCAAAGGTACTGCCTGTTGTTTTAAGAGGCGGATGTGATGGAAGGCCCATTGTGAAAAGATTTTTCATTTGCATTGTTTGTATGGCATGAAACCCGGCCCCGGCAAAAAGAAAAAAAAGAAAAAATAAATAAAAAAATGATAGCCCAGAACGCCTCAAATGTTATTTTTGGGCGTCTACAACACAAAGATCTCGCAGGGGCATGCCCCCGGACCCCCTAGGACAGTGTTGTCTCGATCGGCCTAACTTTCGGCCCCAACCCCTTTTGGACATCTCTGGATCCGTCCCTGTTTCAAACTCCTGATCAGAGGTCCAACACCTTATACACTGTGTCACATACTTCTACAGTTAAGGCATGGAGAAAATAAAATAGAAGGAGTAACAACGAGCTTATCGCTACTGTTTAATCCGATTAAACAACAGGAATTTCCCTATGGAAATGCATTGGGACGCCCGTGAAGCTTATCGCGATGCCGATCTCTTTAAACACAGACCTCCCCGCCGACAATTATCGAACCCCTATAGTTTGCTAGGCTCAGTTGAGAAAATAATTAACAACAAACAGAAATAAAGAAAAGAAATATACATGCGCAGTCTGTTTTGGCTTGTTTCTTCGATGAGTGTTATTGCTAGATAGATAGACCTTTTTTCGCTGCAAATTTTGATACGTGAAACTCCGAAATCGGACTGAAATAAGTGTTGTTTTCATCAATCGTAAGTATTGGCTCATTTTATCATATCTATGAAAGTAGTTTTTTTAAATTATGATTTTCAGGACGTTCTCCATATTAGCGGTTTGTAAAACAAATTGGTATCGAAACTAGAAAGATGTAGCTTTCGTTTGGTACCAGCAACAACAGTGTCCGATTATGTCCGACTGACTTACGAAGTTTAAAAGTTTGGCCTAAAAATTGTTACCGCCGTAAATTTACTTCCGGTTTTGTGAGGAATTCAAAACAATCCCGGACTAGGCCTAGACTTTAAATATGCTATTAAATCTCAATTTAAAGAAGTAGGCTACCGATTCTGGTGTTTTCATTTTAGGCCTAGGATAGGCCCTAGGCCTAAGCTAAGGGGCCTATAATAGTCTTAGAGTAATCGATGGCTGTTATTGTTAAGAGTAGTAGTTATAGGCCTAGGCCTAGTTAGCTTCTCTATGCCTAGGCTTAGAGAAGCTAGCTAGGCCTAGATATAACTAAACTAGCCTAGGCACTATCATTATGCATACGCCAGAGCTCCTTTCAGTTTCATGAGCCAAGAAAGTTAAATAATCCAACTAGGCCTAGCCTAACTTAGGGCTAGCACAGTTAATAAAAAAAGTTTTTTTTTTTTTTTTTTTTTTATGTTGACTTTTTTTATAGTTAAAATATGGAGCTGTCAAAGATATATTTACTTTTTATGTAAAACACATTTTATTTAATTTACTACTATTAATATTAATATTTAAATATCCAATTTATTTGTACAATTTTGAAAACACATGAATCATTCTACTATAAATTGTTGGGCCCGACATCTATCTCCAATAACTTATAAGCGATGCGCAAATGTAACTTTAGAATTAATAAATTTTAAATTTGAATTAAATCATGCTCCAATAAATTTAAACTATATATTTTTTTAACAGCGATACAAAATTTATAATCTTAAATTTATTGCAAAATTCTTTTTTAATGAACACATTTTTTTTTTCTTTTTAGAATGATGAACAACAAACATTCAACTTGCTTG